GGGTACAGCGGGGCGCGGTATTTGGGGAGCCGTATGGAGGCAGTGAGGGGAAAACAAACCTGTTAGTGGGATGGATCTTCGTCTGGGCACAGCCAGTGGGCGAGGTGCAGGCTGTGGTGGGCACAGCGAGTGGGCGAGGTGCAGGCTGTGGTGGGTGGAGGGGTTGAGTGCCAAAATGAGCGTAGTTTTGCAGAGCAGAAGTGCAGACTTCCTTGTGTCTAAATGCAGAAGTCGTGAAGCCTGAATAGGTCAGTGACTACCAGTCTTTTTGCCCTTACGATGTCTATTCCAAAACCCTTGTGGGCGGAATGAAGCTATAAATTAATAAACTTTTCTTTTTTGAAAACACTTTTGATAAGACCTTCCTCCCCAATGTGCTTCCGTAACTATAGAGCTGGTGACCTAACCGGGGTTACTTTGAATGCATGCTTCTCTTGTTTGGTTCACTGCTTGGCCTGACAGTTTTGTTGTCACAACTAAATTAGAAAGGTATGAATGATTAAGGAAATGATGATGCTCTAGAATTAGTGAAGCCAGTAGTGTTATTGGAAAAAAAAATCTTGAGTTGTATGTCAAAATGTATGTGACAATTACTAGAAAATTGCTTTAGATGGTAGCACACTTAGCATTGTGGTCTGGAGATGGCAGTAGTTTACCAAGGCTGCTGAGTCCCGGGAGTGTCTTGTTGATGTCAGCCTAAGTTTGCAGACACTTTTTCGTCTCATAGCTTGGGTTTATTGCTCAGTAGTCCTTGGTACTGCTTATATATATTCATAAAAATAGCCCTGGCATGGAAGTTGATAGAGAATTGTGCGGAGCTCAAGAATTGTAGTTCAGATATTCTTATGTATGTTCTCTTGTTGTGGAAGAATTTCATTCAAGTGAGAGTTCATGTAGAGTCTTAATCATATTTTTGACAGTTATTTCTCAGATGAAGGCTACAGTTATAGCTTTAAAAACTAGCACCATGCTATTAACAGCCTTTTTCAATCAATCAGTTTGATCATTACAGTGACGAGAATCATGTTTTATCATTTTTATCTTTTCACAACTGATATCCCTGAAATGACAGGCAGATTCTAATCCTCTAATCCACCAAAAGAGCTGTTAATTAGAACGAGTCAATCATTTTGTTAGTTTAAAATGGAAAAGAGCATGCCTGTTTGGGTGCTACTGACCATTAATTTGTTTTTCTGAAGTTTTTTCTGCATACAATGTAGAAGGAAACACAGCATAACCTTTAGATCCTGTTATGTTTGTGAGATAGGCATCTTAAAGAAACAATACAGTAAGATATTAAAGGGAGCCATAATTACTGCAGGTTTTCTTCTTGGATTTGTCCTTATTTTTAAAATACATTTAATGTCTCCTTTATGAGAGGAGGAAGCAAATTCCTTTACTTGCTGACAGAATTAAAATTTAACAATGTAACATTTTTGCTTTTTGTTTCTTATAAGGTCCATAATTTCTTTTTGCAGTGCCTTATGCCCTTTAATGAAGTATCTAATCCCTGAAATAATCTGCAGTTTAGAAATGCCTATCTAGGCAAAGATTTTTCTCTGATTTCTAATCTAAGAGATTTTTGTTGATGAACTGTGTTTTGCAAGCAGCTACATGAATATATAGCTATTGCTGTAGGTGCTTTTGTAGTACAAGAGATTAGAAGTTTGCCTTGCAAGGTTTGGCATTTTGGAGTAATTTTTCTTTTTTTTTAACAGACAACATGGCAAGCCCGGGTAAAGATAACTTCAGAATGAAAAGCTACAAGAATAATGCACTTAATCCCCAGGAAATGCGGCGACGGAGAGAGGAGGAAGGTATCCAGCTTCGGAAACAGAAGAGGGAAGAACAGGTAGGTACCTTGGTGAGCTGTTAACCGTTAAGCACTTGTGAAGCTAAATGCAGATATGTGAAAGGACTTGAGCAGACTCTTGTGGAGCAGAATCCAGAGCGCCGTGTTGTCTGTCTGGTTTCTGTGCAGTCTGGGGCAGCAGCAGGCACCTCTTGATAGGATCGTAAACCAAAAAAAGTAAACAGAAGCCCTTCTAAGTCCCTGGGGCACACAGAGGAGAGATCCATGTCTTAAGTTTAATCCTAGGTTTAAACATGTAAGGCTGGGCTGAAACGATGCTCTCATTTCCAATAAGGATTAGAAACCTTGCATTCTCTTCTAGTGTTTGGGCTGAAGTTGTACTGTTAGAAGGGTGAGGATTATATTAATCTTTGAAGCCATACTTCAAATTGCCCAGGAGCTTTTCTACAGTAGCTTAGTAAAGTGGCTACCAACTAGTGATCCATGAACTAGTATATATAACATTAGCAGTTGTCCTCATTAAATTTTTAGTGATCATAGCACATGGAGTGTTGTATAATTTTATGGTTTGTGGTAGTTCCTTTTCCCAAAATGTTTAGTAGTTCCTTGCCAGGAAAGTAAGGAATGTAGGTTGTTTTTCTGCTTGGTCTAAAGTGGCTAAATTTGTCTCCCGTAACCTAGAGAGTGTCCCAGGCACTGATCTACAGTCTTCTCTGAGGTGGGAATGCTTACCCTTCTCCTGGGAAAGTGGTGCTACTGCATGGAAAAAGAAATTAAATTAGTTGGGCCAGAGAGGTAAGAGTAAGAAGTAGTATGATACTGGAGCATTTTACATGTGAATGGGTAACTGCATTACAGTTCCTGCTCAAAGTTTTGTTTGTGTATTTTGTAGTAAATACTACCCAGATAAGTTATGAAAATAATGAGTATTTCCTCTTCCCTGCTAACTGTTGTAAGAATGAGAATACTGTTATGTTTTTGATCTTAATTTGTTAGACTGTTGTTCTTCAGCTCTTCTTGAACTGGGGAGAATAAATTTATGCAGGGAGATGGGACTGCTTTTGCTCCAGAAGATATTTTGACTGGTAGATAGACCCATGATGCTAAGCAAAAACAGTATACATTTCAACCAAGACCTTCTATGTCCTTGTTGAGTGCTAGAAAGAATGGCTGGTCTTCCAAAAGAGGAATGTTCTTTCTTCTTCCTTTGTGGGTTTGAACGGAATTAAACCTTGTTCATGTCCAGGATTCTGCAGTTGTTTTGTGTCCAGGATTGTGCCCAGTCCAGAAGTGTGTTGAACAAGGTTTAGGTTCCTATTTGAAATATGGGTAGATGTAAACATGGAGTTGCTTCTGCAGTTTTGGGCATGTACAATAGCAGAAAAGCTTCAGGGTTTAGTAGGAGGTTTCATTGTTATGCTTACAGGTGAAATCTTAATCAATGGACTGAGATTCTAACATTTATTTTTGAAGATACCAACATAATAATCTTAGAATTGTTAATTACAGCAGTTGTAAGTCTGGTACTGGATTAAAGATAAGAAATTAGGTTGGGTTTCTAGAAGAAACCAGACTAGTGCAAATGTTTTGCTTGTATGCCAGAAAAATGAAGAAGCCCTCATTAAGCATAGCCTGTTAAATACTAGAGTGCAGGTGTGTATTTTGAGTGTAGGCAGTGCACACAGCCAATGCTAAAACAATTTTGTGGACACAGAGAATATTTAATGTTACATAATTTGAAAGTTGACCTTGAAGCTCCACCATTTTTTCTCCAACTATATTAAAATAATGTTTCCTGTTTAGTCTTTCTGCAATTGTATATTAAATATTGGTGCTGTTTACTTGGCATGCAGAGAAAGTACATAGATCTTAGACCTTCTCTTAAAGGAAGGAATGGAGCGTGCTGAAACACAAACGTTGGCTCTGTGTTGATGATTTTAGCCTATAAAGTAAAAAAGGAGAAAGTAGCTTGTAGAGTACTGTTTCCTGCTTAAAAATAAATGCTAATTATGAAGGATAAAGAGTAAAAGTAAAAAGATCTGTGTCTTCTTTTTCTTTTATGTAGAAAAATGTATAGATCTTTGCTAATTAAAAAGGAACTTCAGTTTTTAAATACCTCTCAAAAGTGTGGAGTGCAGTTTATCAAGATACAGATAATTGTACTGGTTTTCTCCTTTGTATTCTTTAAACTTTTCATGTAGAATTCCGTTTGCATGAAGATGAGTAGTTGAAATACTTTGACTAGTATCAGTGAAAGCATTTCTTCAGGTGCATGTCGCCCATACCCACTCTATAGTAAGTTCTAATGTCTCCCAAAAATTTCTTCTTTGTTTAGCTGTTTAAACGTCGAAACGTTTCTCTCCCGGGAAATGAAGAATCTATGGTAGAAAGTCCAATTCAGGATCCTGATGTCAGCTCTACTGTACCTATTCCAGAGGTAATTACTTTTGAGTGTGTTTAGAATGTCAGCTGTTAATGTGGATAGCACTATATGTATGAAATACTCCTTTCATTTTTAGGAAGAAGTTATTACAGTAGATATGGTGCAAATGATTTTCTCAGATGATCCTGATCAGCAACTTACAGCAACTCAGAAATTCAGAAAATTGCTATCTAAAGGTATGAAAACATTGCCTGTTTTTTTTTTAATTGTTCCTTCTGTGTTGTTATTATGAATTTTTGTGAGAAAGTCGGTTAACCTTTTGTTTTGTTTTACTTTAAAATAAAGCTTGCTGAAACTTCTCGTTCTGTTCATAGAGAAACGGTGCCAAATCTGTTCCAACCTAGTGGCTAAATACAGAAGGCTTCATTATTCTGATGTTAAGTCTTTCAGACAAAGTAACAAAGCAAGGATGTTTTGATTGAAGTGTCCAGGGCAGTAACTATCTGCACACTAACATTACTTACAGTAGTTGTTGCAGTGATTCAATTTCTCATTCTTTTTCTGTATTTGAGGGGAGAGAAATTATATGGCCAACAAAGAACTCTTGTAACTAATGTTTTTGTTGAGACTGACAGTGTTAAATTAATGCTGGTACTTGTATAGCATGGTAGGTAGAGGTATGCTTAGTCATTTAAAATAGTATCTAGGCATAATTGCTCTTCCACTGACCTGAGCTACTGGGTGAGGGAACAGTGTTTTGTAATGAGTTACTATCATGCCAATGGATAATAGTATGTGTTACTATTATTATACATAACAGAGTATTTACTAAATTGTAGCACTTTATGGAGATGATACTGCAGTCTTCTAAAGTCAAAAGTTTGGCTTCTTCATTTGAGATTAAAATGATTGGATGCTAAAAATTACTAGGAACTGAGAATCACATTAATATTTTGTGTCATACTGAAAAAGTAATTTATTTGGTCTTTTTTGTTAGGCTTACAAAGATATGTTTGTTTTTATCCTCTAGAGCCTAATCCACCTATAGATGAAGTCATACAAAAACCAGGAGTAGTACAGAGATTTGTGAAATTTCTGGAGAGGAATGAGAATTACACTCTGCAAGTGAGTTTGGCTGGTACTGACTGGGGGTTTGGAATGGGATCAGTAACCCCCCAAAACAGCTTTGGAAAGCATGTGATTATTATTTTTAATAACCAAATTTAATTATGTTTAATTACCAGAGCTGGAAATTTTAGTTGTCTGAAATGTTAGTTATTGCCACTGAAGTTGTGACTTGACTCTTGTGAATGTCATAGCACTCCTTAGGGTTATGTAGTCAGCTGGTCAAATACTTGGAAGCAGAATGTGTTCTAGAGATTTTCCAGAGTGGTACATTAAGGTCATCAGCACTGATGTGTGAGCAGAATCTGTTTTGTGTTGAGTATATTGTAGTACTTTTCAGATGAAATCTTAGAAAAGAAGAAGAAAATACAGGAAACTGAAAGGCTTGCATGAAACCTTTTTAGATCTTTGAAATATATGTAACTAACGATAAGAGTAACTTGTTCTGTCTACTTGTAATAGCCCATGGAATGTCACTTAGGCCTTGTGTACATTCATACTAGAAGAATTTACTTAAACTTAATATAAATAGAAGGGGTTTGTACTAGTTAATAGAGATTCAAAATCTTGCTTACAGTTAGTACTGCAAGCCAAAACCTAAAAATAGTTTAGATACTGAAGGTGCTAATTACACAGAGATTTTGTCAATGCCAATTATTTATTGTATAGAAAGTACAATAGTAGTAATAACTGCATTTCAGTAGAAAGGAAAAAAAAGTTGGAAAATTAACCTCTGCAACTCTCATGTCAAACTGTTTTTCAGTAATTTAAGCTTTACTGCTGAGTGGTTTAACATGGTCGTCTTTGTGCTCCTCAACAGTTTGAAGCGGCTTGGGCTTTGACAAACATAGCATCTGGAACTTTTCTACACACCAAAGTTGTAATTGAAACTGGAGCTGTTCCAATTTTCATTAAGTTGCTTAGTTCAGAACATGAAGATGTACAGGAACAGGTAACTTTTATTGGGGTGTTTTATAACTACTTAAAATTCATTTTTAAATGTCTTTTTTGAGGTGTGTGTGGTTAGAGAGGTTTTGAGCTCTATTGGCCTACTAGCCCATTGATCTGGCTCCAGGAGAATGAAAATTTACCTTCGGTGTATTTTTTCCCTCATGTTTAATGGGTGAGGGTTTGTTTTTTTTTTTTCCTGTTTCTTTCAGGTTTCTTTGAACCTGTTTTTTATTTCATGTTATTGAGCAATTTGAAGAAAGCTCCTCATTTCTGTTGCGGCATTTACAGGTGGACAGGATCTAAAAAACTATAATAGAAAGAATATAGAAGAAAACAATGTGGATTTTTTTCCCTAAGTTATCTTGCGGTTTTATTTCCTGTATACTTCTGCTCTTCCATCTTATTATGTTAGTCTTCATTAACATTTCCTGAACTTTTTTTTTTTGTTTGGTTTGGCTTTGGGGTTTTTTCATGTATGTTTAAGAGAGGCTGTAATTTACTGTTTCTTATTTAGCATGTTTGAAAGTTTGTATAGTGAAAGTTCATGATTTAACTCTTTTATTCCTTGCACATTGTTTGCAACTTTGAGCCAACTTTATTGAACATTTCACACATAGTGAGCAAATGTAACTACTGAAAGGAATGCATGTTTCCTTTTTATTGAAAAACACATGAATCAACATATTTTCCTAACAAGGCTTTATTTCCTTGAAAGGATGACTTCACGTGTAGGTAATTGACTTTGTGTGAGTTCACAAAATGGCAATATAGAAAGCAGTAGTCTTCTGAAGTTTTATATTTTTAATGATATTGCTTTTTAGTTATATAATATTTTCTGTAAAGATATATAAATTATCTGTGAAAGTTGATTTACAAGCATTTATAAATTCACTTGGATGCTTTGCTTTTTAAGGCAGTATGGGCTCTTGGGAACATTGCTGGTGATAATGCAGAATGCAGAGACTTTGTTTTAAATTGTGGAATATTACCACCTCTCTTGGAGTAAGTATTGTACGTTAATACTGTAATATCATGTACATGTATAGATAACTGTAAACTTCACCTTAAATTTTATTTGAAAAGAATACAAGCTTTTTGCCAAATTGAGAATGTTTCTTTTTTGTTATATTGCTATGACTAATGTTTTGGGTTACCTGAGCTTCATGCATATCTTTAATTAATTACTATATGACTGGAAGCTTTCCAGTGTTTGTAAAAGGAGGTAAATGTTATTTCACAAATATGAAATTTCTGTATTGTGCAAAACTCTGTGTTGCCAGAGTTCTGGATATACAGGGTGTGAGAGATGATTTAATTCACACTTAAAAGCGTGTGTTTCCAACTGGCTGGGCAATAGGCTGGTTTCACCACCTTTGTCCAGGAGCTCCAAGCTCCAGTCTTACCATCTATCTGTTTGCATGTCGAGATGAGCTGGCAGAGTAGTTACTACATGAACTGTGTTCCACCAGAAGATTCCTCTGCACTAGGAATACCATTCCAGCATTTGCTGTATACTTACAATAGGATGTAAGGTGGCTTCATCATAGAGAGAAAAAATCACACAACAAAAATTTTGTTCAATTTATTATTGCTTCAAATAATAAAATGCTTTAAAACCTTTATAAAATAGCTTGAAATAATAGAGCAGAATGCGATTACCTTCCACGAGGATTTAAAGGATTAGCAGTTTTAGACATTTTGATGTGTATCTGAACATGAACCTGGTCTTTCAGATGTTGAGTCTTTCACATTCCATTCAGCAAAACAGTAAAGCATCAACTTTTTTAGAAGATCTTTTAAGTTCTAACTTCTTATGGGACTATTTTTATTATTATTAATTGCATTCTCTAAATGAAAACATCAAAGTTGCAAAGTTAAAGCAACTCATCTAGGGAGGGTTGCATTGCCTTGCCCCTTCTGAACGCTCTCAGAAAAGGTTAGTTGAATGACTTTTTATGTGAGCAGTGGTTTACTTTATGCATGTATTGGATTTGGGAATGAGATGTCTACACAAAATAATCTATTTGGATTCAGCTGATTCCAAGAAAATATTTGCAGCATGTAAGCTATGAAGAGAAATAAATTGAAACTAGTGCCCAATAATAGGATTTCTCTTCCTGATTTGAGGTACTGTTGGTAACAGTAGGCATAAAAAGACTTACCTTTCCAATAAGAATTTTTTTTTTTTTTTCACTTGTTGTCTCTCTTTGACAGACTGTTAACAAATTCAAATCGTCTTACAACAACTAGAAATGCTGTCTGGGCTCTCTCAAATCTCTGTAGAGGAAAGAATCCACCTCCAGACTTCAGTAAGGTATATTAAAGTGTTCATTTTGAGAAATCAGAAAGCTGAAGACAACTTGTATTTGTAGTAACACACAGAATCTTTGAATCTGGAGATAAACTCAATTTTATCTTTTTAATGTAATCACACAGTCTTGTCCATCTGTTGTATCTGCACAAAATCATCTACTTTGACACCCGTCAGCAATAAAATCGAATTACTTAAAAACTTGAGAGTGTAGTTAGTCAGATGCAAATAGTCTTTCACTGATATGAAATGAGGGACAAACGATACATTCAGCACTAAACTCCTTGGGACTGTATTGTCTCCACATCTGTTTTAGAGGATGGGAGTTATGATTGAAGCTTTTTTTAAAGTATTATTTTTTAATTTTTAGTTTATGATTGCGTGTGGATGCTGCAGGAATAAAATTTTGCATTTTCTGCTCTGTCAGATGCAGTTAATTCAGACTATGATGACAGAGGTTAATGACGTTAAAAGATGGAACTGGACATGGGATGTTCTGGTAGAGGAGTCTGAGGTCAAATGATCATTAAAGATAATGTGGAAAGTGTTTACATGTCTTGAAGCTTACCCATGGAGTAGTAATTGCTGTTATAGCTACTTAATAATTCTTGGAGAGATATTAACAAAAAAGGGGGATTTCTGATGTCAGTTAATCGATCACCTCACAAGTGCTCTGCCTAAGATACATCCTTCAGTAATGTTTTGTTCTGGTAGTAAAAAAACAAGAATTTTTGCTGCTTAAACACTTTGAAACTTCAGTGGAAAAGGATGCCCTGCAGGCAACTGCTCATAAGAATAGCTCCTTTGCTTTTTGCCCTTTGCAGTAGCACCAGTTCCTCCCGTAAAGGAGGCTGAATTGCATAGCTCTAGCAAGATAAAGAATTAAGTTCTACAAAGAATATGAAATTCCTAAGCTGTACAGCTGAAACCTGTCAGGTCTCAAGTGGTGTTAAGATGGTCTAGTTAATTTGCCTCTGTCTCTGTGGAACTTGTAGGAGATTAAGGCCAGAGAGTATATTTGCAGCAAGAACTGAAGTCAGGCGTTGCTTGTTTGATTTGGTTCAGTGAACGTTGAGTCCTCTGTGAATTAGCTGAGTTCTTTGTGGTAAAGCAGTTGTAAATTGGTTATTACAAATAACCTCCAGTACTCCTACAAAGACAGCAATATCAATAAATGTTATTACTGTGAAATTCTGTTCCCTGAGTGATTCAGGAAAGCATCAGCAATTCCTGATCATCTGGTTACTTGTAAAAGCAGATGGTTTTTATTTAAGCTGAACAATTATATACTCAATATAATATCTCTAAATAAACAGGCTGTGAATAAAAATTTATGCAGTTCGACAGTTTGGATACCTGGTTTAATCAGGTCCTAATTCATTAATGAGCTCATGTGCTTTGGCAGTAAATAGTTTTGTACCTTTATGTCTTTCCAGAATATTCTCTGAAACTTGGAAAAATACAAACCATCTAATTTTATGCAATATTTTTCTTTAACCTAGGTTGCTCCTTGCTTAAATGTTTTATCAAGACTATTATTTAGCAGTGACCCAGATGTATTAGCAGATGCTTGCTGGGCCCTCTCTTACCTTTCAGATGGTCCCAATGATAAAATTCAAGCTGTTATTGATTCCGGAGTGTGTCGAAGATTGGTAGAGCTGCTGATGTAAGTCTTCTCTTCACCAAATAAATGTCTTAAAGTACTCTTAATATTAATGCATTCAGATTCAGGGTTTTTTCCTCACCTCAAGTCTAAATTTATTTTATGGGAAGTGATGAACCTGAATTCAGTCTGAAACTTTTCAGTTGCTTGCTCGGTTGCTTAGCTCCTGGGATTTTTCCTGAGGTTGATAGTGAAAAATGTTTTCTTCAGAGTATTCCTTTATATTCTTTTAAATTTAATTTAGGATTTCATTTACATGGAGGCATAGAAAAGTGAAGACTGAAGACCAAGCTTGAATTGTAAATTAATTTCTCAGCTTATTTTTTTTTATTTCACTGTTGTGTTTTGTTTTCTTACCTTTCTAGGAGATGTAGTTGCAATGCAGGCAGTTCTTGGACTCATAAAGTCCAGACAGAGGCAGGCTTGTGCCACTTTTGAACTGTTCCAGTATATTTGTTTTATGGTTCATTATTTTCTGAGAAAGGGAGACTAAATCCCTGTGTTCACATGGGGACTGCAGAGTATGTCAGGGATGATAGTTCCCAGCGCTGACAGCTCAGCACAGTTCCCTGTGAAAATCTCATTTGTACAGCTGTCAGGAAAGGGTGAGGTTGCTTTTTCTCCTATAGATGCTTTAGGACAAATGAGTAGATTTCCTTCCCCCTCACTTCAGACAGCTGAATGTGGGCTTCATGCACTGGCTTCTAGGGTTATTGACTTAGAAAAGGGGAAAGCTGTCTTATAAAGGGAGGCTGCTAAGTTTTAGTATACAGCTAATAACATCCCTTTTGGTTCTGTGGCTATTGAGTGATGCAGTTTCCAATATTGCAGTCAGTAATATGGTGTTCCGTAGAGATGTCCTTTCCTTGATGCAGCAATTGAGTTATGGGCTTGCAGTGTCAAATTTGGCTAAATAGGGAGGGAGAAGGTGTAAGAAGTAATGCAGTATTTTCTGTAATTAAAATCTTAGCACATGAAGTAAACCATTGTTTGCTGAAAATGCAAAATTATACTTTAACACTTGGTAATATCAACCGATTTAATATTTGTCTCCAGGCATAATGATTACAAGGTGGTATCCCCTGCATTGAGAGCAGTTGGAAATATTGTTACCGGGGATGACATCCAAACACAGGTAAGACTAGTTAATTTAAGAAAAATTAATTGTCAGACAGAAAAATGGTTACAGAATTTTGTAAAAATTAATTGTGACAAAACATGTCTAGTACGGATATCTATCTGCATATTGAAGTGAAAGAGGCTCTGTAAAAATCTGTATTGTTAATTTGACAGTCAATTTGGACTGCTGTTTTAGACATTACATTACTGCAAGAATCAACCTTTTCTTAGGTGGTGGATTGCTTTGTGCCTCTCTGGTACCTTGAACACTGCTTCCCATTCACAGTGAAAGTAACTTTCTTTATTTTCCACCCTTAATGAGGGTTTAGTTATTTCTTATTCCCTTTTTTTTAAGTCTTGAAATGCAGTCAAAATTGTCACTTGTAAGCATCAGTCATACTTGATTTGTCCCTGAATTTGTATGTGATAGTCTTACTGATGCAATTTGTTCTAAAGATTTATCTTTTAATTTTTTAATTGAATTTGAAGCAGTGCAGAGAATACTAAGACAGGTCCTCCTTTAAAGAAAACTGTGTTTAAAAGGCTCACAGAATTAGCGTAGAGGGAAAATAAGGAAATAAGTTAACTGCATAATTTGTTGTGAGCTCTATAGGAGAGAATTTCGCTAAGGAATTAAATAGAAAATATCTCTCTCTTCAAAACCAAATGATCAAATAACTATACAAATTAGATTGACACTTCTCTGTTATTCTCAGTTACTCATATTCTAGCCTTAAGTGGCCTTTTTTAGTCTTGCTGTCCTTAGTCTTCTGGTCTGAACTTAATTGGGAATAGGTTCTTTCAAATTGGAGTGTCAATGAAGAGACAATCCAGCAGTATTGAACACTCGAATTTTGCAGTATCTATGATGCTTTGTATAATATAAAAGTGTTGCAAAATCTACTTCTTTTGAAGTTGTCTGTAAAATGCTTTTATATATATATATATATTGCACAAACCTGTATGTATGTATGTATATTGTACAACCCCAGTTTTCAACTCTCTAATTCTTTTAGGTGATTCTAAACTGCTCTGCATTACCCTGTCTCTTGCACCTGCTTAGTAGTCCCAAGGAATCTATTCGAAAGGAAGCATGCTGGACTGTTTCTAATATTACTGCAGGAAACAGAGCTCAGATACAGGTAAAGCTTGCGTATTTGTTATTCAGTTGGTTTTGTTTTCATTTCACTAGTTCACTTGATTTTCCTTCACAAGGAGAAGTTAAGTAGATACTACATTGACTCTGCATTATTTATTTTAGTCCTAACTGTCTATTTTATCTAACTTAAATGTTCTCTTACAAATTTTGAAAGATTATTGTAAATAACTTCATAAAATTATACTTTAAAAATAGCTTTCATAATTTGTACTAGAGAAACTGATTCATTTCCCTCAAAGGGATTTGGCTGATGTTTATAAAACAAATGAAAGGATACTTAAAATATTCTTTTAGATCTGATATCAACAGTTGTTACTTTGCCCTGTGGGAGGCTCATATACTGCTATATTGTCTCTAATTTTGTTCCACACTGTAATATAAATGTAAAAGTAATAATCAATTTTCCTTTTAAAAAGTTGAAACAAAGCATCTTTCACAAATTAGTCCAATGAAAAGTGGACAATTCTACCAATTTGGAAATGTTGAACATTTTGCTTGGATAAAAAACCTGAATGATGTCATCATTACTGAGTTGTGTGAAAACTACTAAATACTGACTATTGCTCCAGGTGTCTGGAGTTACCTGAAAAAAGCTTCTGTTTGACAAAAATGAGAATTCTGAATTAGAGTACATGTTTCAATATTATTTTTGCCCTCCCCATGCTTCCATCAGGGATGAAAATACTACTTCTTGATGTCAGTTAAAATAGATAATATGTATTATATATTTATATATGTATTATTCTATGTATAGTTTCCAACTATAGACATAGTCTTTCTGTGGAGACTGCAAACCTGAGTAAAACAGACAGAGTGAAGTATTGTTCCAAGGCTTGATCTCCAATTCAAAAACTTGAGTTTAGTGCTTACATCATATGATTTTCAAATGGGCCTGTCCAGTAAGCAGTGTCCTGTCCACTAGAGACAGAGAAATCAACAAAGAGGGTATTATGATGGCTGCAGCAGTGCAGTGTTGGAATAGTTCTGAATTTCAGCTTAGTGGTTTTAGTTAGCATGGCACCTTCTAACAAAACATTATTTGTTTTGATACCAGAAGGCATCACTGACTCTTGCATTGAAGGTTATTAACGTTCTTTCTCTGTGTATATTAAAACTTTCTAAAACTTTATAAAAAAATATTATAATTTCCTCTCTTAGGCTGTTATAGATGCAAATATTTTTCCAATACTGATTGAAATTCTTCAAAAAGCTGAATTTCGCACCAGGAAAGAAGCAGCGTGGGCCATAACTAATGCAACGTCAGGAGGAACCCCTGAACAGATCAGGTAAGTTTGTATATCTTACTATTTTTTTCTGCCCGAGTATCTTCTCTAAGGCACTTATTTCTGCATTTGAATCCTGACAAACGTAACAACAAAATCTTAAACACAACTGGGATTCCTTGAAACTCTGTCTATATAGGAACTAAACATGTAGAAATTCAGAAAAATGAGTGAAATAGATGCAGTAGACTTAATAAGAAATTGACCAATACCGCTTTGTTTCAGCGGTGTTACACCTAAAGCTTTCACAGGGTTGTCTTCCAGAGCTGATACTGTATTGTCAAATGCAATTGCAACAGTTAATGAACAGGTTCAGCATCTGAAAATGGAAAACTTTGGGAGAGTTGTTTAGAAAACTTGTGCGATGGGATTGTAGCTCCGTGGAGAGATTTCAGGAATTGTAGTGGTTTCTTCATGTATTTAAACTCACTATCAGTGTTCATTTAAAGCAGATACCTAACTCTGTTTTCAAAATTGAATTTGATTAAAATTTACTGTCAGCTGCTATTTGTATGCTGCAGAGATTGGATTTCTTGAATGCTTAGAAAAAAATACTGTCTAGTTTCTCTGTATACCATCAGCATAGCTATCACTTTCAATCAGTAGTTGGTAAATGGATTTAAAAATGACAGTGTATAATTTGGAAGCTAGAACTGAAAGCAGTATGATAACTCTTTCAGCATATTTGGGAGATCTTTTGCAATAAGTGCATGCTCATTTATTTAAAATGTAAACAGTCCTGATTTTCTTATAACCAGTAAGTGTTATCAGAAGTAAGGAAAGTTCGTTAGTGGGTTTTTGCTATTATTTTGATTGCACACATAATGTAGCATCTTAAAATTTAGCATATTTAAAATAAATTTTAATTCAATATCTTGAAATACTAAATATGTGTGTAATACCATAAAAGTAGCTGCTCATCACAAATATATTATCTATGAAATTTTAGCCCTTTTAACGTTCTCAAGGTACTACTGTCTAACTGCTAACTGCAGGATAATTTGGATCCACTAAATAAACTATATTTAAGCAACCTTTGATGCCGGCAAACATTACTGTCTTTGTTTTACTTGCACACTAGAACAAGGACACAGGTTCTGATTTCCAAAGATCCTACAAAATTTTGTGCAAAATTGGAAAAAGGAATAGGATACTCAGAATCTCAGTAACTTTTCTGTATTTACAATTATGTCCTTTTACAGTAGGTAATGCTGATCTCTTAATGGACTGCTAGTGTGGACTATGTTAGTTCAGAGCAGTGTCCAGTGTTCTTGTCTGTCTCTTAACATGTTTACTCGGTATTTTTACCACTACAAAATTCCAAATGCCTGAGAAAATAACTTACTGCTAAAACTTTTTCTTCTATTTGATTAAACCCATCTGAAGATCGTAAGTGAAAAGCAGTTGAAAAGACTACAGATTCCAAACTCCAGTTAGGAATATGCACATTACATTTTGTCATTAGGATAAATCAGATTATTTATTCAGTGTCATACTAAAACTTATCTTTGTATTGTATTTTAGAAATTTTTTGTTTCAGCCACTACTTTTAGGAAAATTAAGGACTGATAGTAATAGATGGATGTGTCAGAATAAATGTGCTGGATTATCAGTCCTTTTTTTTTTCCCCCATCCCTCTCTTTTTCTGCTGTTATAAAGGTATTTGGTAGCACTAGGTTGTACCAAGCCTCTTTGTGACCTCCTGACTGTGATGGATTCAAAAATAGTACAGGTGGCTTTAAATGGACTTGAAAATATTCTGCGTCTTGGAGAACAAGAGTCTAAGCAAAATGGAATGGGCATTAATCCTTATTGTGCCCTTATAGAGGAAGCATATGGTAAGAAATTACTTCTTGTAAAACTACATACCTGAACTTCCTTGTTTCAGGCTGTAAAAACAAAACCATTGTGAACCATTTGTAAGTAATTTTAATATTAGAATTTTTACTTTAAGCATAAGTGGACATGAAAGCATTATAAATTAAGTAAGGTAACATGGTGGGAAAAGCACATAAATGCAGAAAACCTGTGGATGTTTTGTCTGTGGTCAATTTATGAAATGTGCCTCTAGAGAAACATTCTCAGAAATATTTAACACGCAGATGTCCTAGTCTGTTGGAGCCCTGGTTTGCGTAAGTTTATGAGCCAATCCTAAATACAGGTTTATTACTTTAAAATATATAGTCCTGTCTAGTACAGTTTCATTGCCAACAGGGATGTGAGATCAGGTTTTTTTACTTATTCCCAAAGTCAGTCACATTTTAGCACGGTAAAATATCAGTAATGGCAAAATCAACTTCAGATCATAAAATTAAATAAGTTTGTACTTATTTGTGAAACTATTTTGTTCTGTTTCTTCTTTCAAGACTTGTTGAATTAAACCACGTTTTAAAGGCAGAGTATCAAAACTAAAATAACATTTGTGGAATTTACTGGATGCTTTTGATTTAACAGCATCAAAAACAGCTCATAATGAATCTGGCATTATTTATGGAGACTTATCTGTTCATAGTTTCTCACAAAACAAAACTGGCAGACGTTTGTGTTTCAGACTGCTAATTTGGTTCTGGTTGACCACATTATATGTGACTAGATGGTACTAACTTTTCTGTAAAGCAGCCTTGAGATGTGAATTTGCTGCTACAGAGTTGCATTTCTAAAATTAAGTGTATACTTGGTGAACTTACTTTGCAATCTAATGTGTAAGAGGAATAGGTACTAATTATTTTAATAGAACTTATTCTGTTCCAGATTCTGAGTGTGTTTGCAGTTTCAACTACTGAATGTCTAGGTTCATTTTTTCCTTTACCAGTCAAGTGTAGGCTGCTGAAGCTGCAGGGTAGTTCAGTAGCAGTAACAGCTGATTACATCACTTATTGCTTTGGCCTCTAGTCACCAGAAGGGTTCATATGAGCTCTTTATAATCCAACTTAAGTGAAAAATGAATTTTAAAAAGTTAAAAATTAAAAAGGAGTTTTGAATCAACCTAACTGACTGCCAAGCAGTTAATTCTGCCAGCAGAGCAGAGGTTACATTCTCTAGCTTGCAAATGATAAGCCTTTGGAAAGCTAGTACCTTCAAATCTTAAAATTAAATTTAAAAAAAGATACCAGACTGCTCAGTGATGACTCCATAATAGGGGACAGAATTTAGAGTTGGGAAAGATGGGAAGAGTAAAAGAAAAGAAATGAGGATATTGGAAATTGCTATAGCAAACAGTTTTATGTTATTCTAATTCTATACAGATTAAATTTCTTTGTAGGCATGGCATATTTCTTTGTAGATACTACAGCCTCCTCCTTAGTTTAACTGATATTCTTTTAGTGCAGTTTTAAATCAGTTTGGGCAGCAGACCGTGCTTTAGAAAATGAAGACTAGAAATACATGGGTTAGGAAATTAAGAACTAAGAAATTAAGAATTAGTGATACCAAATGAATTGAGAATCATTTGGGGTTGCAGATTTTTATCTAAGAAGTACCACTGAATTTTCATACTATAAGCTGTTTTCCTTTGAATTCATGATTCTTCTAAGCAACTAATTTTTAAAAACGTTTTGTTTTGGATTTAGGACTTGATAAAATTGAATTTCTTCAGAGGCATGAAAACCAAGAGATCTACCAAAAGGCTTTTGAACTCATAGAACATTACTTTGGTGTTGAAGAAGAGGACTCCAGTATTGCACCTCAGGTGGATGCAAGTCAGCAGCAGTTTGTATTTCAACAGCAGGAGGCTCCAATGGAGGGTTTTCAGCTGTAAACTATTGAAGTGAAGACAGGCATAAGATGTAAACACTTTTAGGGTTTTGGGTTTTTTTTTTCCCCCAGAGGTCTTTTCTGTAATGGCCAAAGTTAGAGGGAAAGTTGAATATGTTTTGCAGAAATAGATGAAGAAGCAGCTCATGCACTTTTATATATTGTGTTAGATACAACTGTTCTTTGTTTTGTATTTGTGTTTTTCATTATATCATATGTACAGAACAACAACTGTGAGTAATCATGTCTAAAGCAAAGCATTAAATGTGATTTAACAAGAACTGTTAAGCTAAGACCTGGTAGGATGTTAGGTGGTGGTTCTGAATTTTTCACATAGTCTCAAACTGCATATCAGCAATACAGTTACGGACAGTTGCATTTTTGGCAGTAGGCTTGACTTGCCCAGTTTCTTATCAAATCTACCTCTTGTATTGAAGCAGAAACATTGCTTCAGAACTAAGGCATGAAATAAAGATGAGCTTGTAAGAAGCTGAATTGGAATGTGAAAAATATTTATTTAAATTGTGAAACTTTTATGCAGTACTTACTTTACAACACATTGTTGGAATTTATTTATAAAATGTATTTAAAGACATATTAGATATACATATATAATGCTAATTACCTAATATAATATTGAATATATGAAAAAGCTTTTTCTGAATGATGTGGGAAGAGGACTATTTCAGAGGTTTTCAAATTGAAATCAGCAGAGTGCTTGCTGGTCATTTGATGTTGGCTCTGTAATTAAAGCTGCTAAATGGCATTAAAAGTCAGCCACAAATACAATACTTTGCTGTGGAAGCAGTTGCTGTAGTTACCACAAGAATATTGTGATTACAAATGACAGAGATGGTGATTTGCATGAATCACCAAGCAGGTGGTAATACCACTTTTATTTGAGAAACATTGCAATGTTTGCCTTTCTAGTACAGTAGCTTCCTAGAAGTTCAGACAGTAGGTGTTTTTTGGTTTGTGGTTTGGGTTTGGTTTTGGGGGTTTTTTTTGACCAAATATGCTACCACCACTTGAATTGTTCTTTAAGTTGTTAACTAACTCAGTTTTCTTTTGATAAGACAATAGAAATACTGCAGTGAAGAATGAATAGGGAATCACTCCTTTCCAGTTGAAGGAAAAGTTTGTTGTACTGTAAATAGCATTAAGTATGCGGGCACCAAAACTAACTAGAAGTGACTGTCATCTAAATATTTAGGCTCTACAATATACAGTGTTTGCTGTTAAACACTAAAAGAAATAGAATTCTAATATTTACATTAACAATTTTGAATACAGAAAAATGTATGCTCTGCTTGGACTTGCATATAAGTAGTGTTTCTGCCATATTTAGTAGTATATCTCGTTTGGAGAAATTAACACTTTGAGTTAACTCTAAAGTATGATTTTTTTAATTTTTTTTTTTACCTGTAAGTAATCTATTACCAACATACTCCAGGATAAAATCTTTGATATATGAGAGCATTTCCCGCTTCATAAAAAGTTGCAACTTAAACTTCTAATTACTTAACCCATGGCACTGTTCTTGTCATTAAACAATATTTTAATGCACTGAAAAATACAGGTTAAAGGTGGTATCATTTACAGTACCATTTTATATTTAGAATTTTTTTTACATGCAAGTTAAGATTCTAAGATGTTTCACTTTGATGTTACAGCAATTTATACGATAATGTAATTGAATGTGGGACTTGAAGTGGATTTTCTAAGATTAATAGTCTGTTTTGACTAAGATGTAACTGAGAGGGAAGAAACCTCTTTTTGAAGTCTTTTTAGTGGAAGATAGAAGTGTAAGAAATGTATATAGGAGTGCTGTTACTTTATGAACTCTAAATAATAAGATATTTTAGCAAATGACACTTTAAACCTAGATTTGTACAGCATACAACAATTTTGAATAGTGTGATAATACTGAGTACAGATGCCAAATCTTCATGTAATGTTAGATGATTGTATTTGTGCCCTTTTTACTCTCATAGTTTTAGGTTTTCATATACTGACCTTCCTTCCTTCCCCCATCTGTTCAAAGTACAGGGTAACAATCACGGAAACCTACCAGGATTACTAGTAAATGCTGAATTTCAATGTTCTTCTAGTGTAAGAAAATTATTCAGGTAACAGGGTATTCCATTGCTTCTAACAACCTTGTTTTGATAACATAACCAGCTGTGCCTGCTTTTTATTTGGAGAACCCTGTAAAAACTTCATCTATAAGCCTCTCTAATTTTAACCAAATCTGAACTATAAAAGTCTTGATTAAAAGACTTATAAATGGAGAAAAGAGAGGATGTTTAAAGTATTATATTTGTTTTGAAAGAATGTCTTCAGTTTTGTGGATATATTCTTCTATATGTGTGAATGGTTAGTGACTGCACTTTATGCATTTAGATAAACTATATTTCATGCCTCTGATACATTTAAATGTAACAGTTTAAAAGGGAACTAAAATTGATGGACTTTGGCTAATGAAAGCCATTATTTAAACTCAACACTTGGTCTACTCTAAAATTGGAGAAAAATAATGATGAAAATTCTTCTTTAAAGGATAACCATACAAGATAGCCTCTTCTATTTGATCACTGGGTTTACATCACACTTTGTTAAAAGCACAGAAATGAACAATGTAAAACCAGAGATGATGGCTTAAGGTCAGCTCTGGTGTAGTTATTCACTGGTAGGGGTGTGAATATGATGATGCTGCCTAAACAGATGAAACCAGTGTGGAGGAAAAAAACAAAAACAAAAAACCGCAACTGTGAGAAGAAAATCTCTATGCAACTATGCAAAGCATAAGATTTTATTTTTTTTTTAGTTCCCTAGTCTTGATACACTGAATCATACCTAATTTCTTCATCATTGCACTTTTTTCTGAGGATTGGTTCATACAGCTTTTTAATTTTCTAGTATTTGCTTTAAACACCGTTGCTAACAGCAATCAGAAAATAGTAATAATGTTGTCACAGAAATAAGCTAGCTGTAGAACAAGATTGCAACTGGAAAATATTTATTGTTGGGTCTGTCTTTATGAAAAATAATTTAAAAAGATGCACTATTGTCTTTCCTCCACAGTTAGTTCTTAGTTGGTTTCAATTTATTAAATTTTACAATTGAGGATTTTTGTAATAGGTCTGCAAATTGATATGTGAAGCTTAACTGTGACCTCAAGAGCTCACTGAAATCTGGAATGAGAAATTTCAGTTACTTATGGCACAATTTTGTCATATAATGTGTGGAAACTAAAATACCTACACTAACTTCAGATAGTAATAGTGCATCTTTAAAACAAGGCCAAAGGCCTATTACTGTAACAGGACACATGAGTAGTATGCAATATTATGGAATGTTAAATCTCCCAATTACCATGCAGAAACCAATAAAACCTATTTTACAGATGTTCATTGTATTTATTGTGTTGTGATAAGCGTGGCTTCTTAAACGAGGAAGCACAAATTGAATCCTGCATTGAGGTAAATGAATTCAAACTGGCTGATTTGTGCACTGCAAAACTAGGCAGAAAAAAAAACCAAAACAGACAGCTGGTTTTAAACATGTTTTGTCAATATCTAACCAAACATCTACTTGTGCAGTAATCACAGTCCTGTCCCTCCCTGCACAACTGACCACTGCTTTGGGAATTGCCATGAAGTTTATAAGGACTTGAGAATTGGTGGGATTATCAGGCCATTTCTCCTCCCCTCGCTCCTCCAAACCCTCTCAGTGTATAAGCTTTGTAATATTCTGGCTGAGTACAGTTTGTTCTTTGTTTAGAATTGCAGAAGTGAATTGTCTCAGTCTCCTTCTTGTTGCAGTTTTCATACCTTCACTTCAGTACTGCTCAGTCTTTTTTTGCATTTAACCTTTCACTGAGATGTAGAGCTGGTTTTTCTGTAAGGAACTCTTATTTGTGTAACAGCTCAAGATAAGCCTGAAAGAAAGTTTTTAAGAGCAATAGTGGAAAGTGGAAAGTTGGCTCCCCCTAGAACTGGTACTCTTAGGAAACTACCTCATCTCCTTTGAAATTAATTGCTGCTTTTCATCATGCACAAAACTTTCTAATTTTAATAATTTGCAAAAAGTACATGGAGTATCTCTCCACTAAGAGTCTCTCCATTTCTTTTTATGATCCTGTAACCACCCTTATGGCTACAGTGTGTGCAGTACTACAGTTTTCCATTTATTGATGAAATTCACTATCCACTCAGCATCAGCTATTTTTGCTTCTACAAGGACATTTGGCGTTTCATATAAAGTTACTTTGTCTTCGACTCTGCTGCTAGCTCGGCTTCTTTCCGCCATTTGGCTTTCTTTGCCAGGTTCCAGCTTGTTAAGGACTCGTGACGTGCCGCAGCCTGCAGAAGTAAAACACCTACTTCAGAGTAGTGTAGTAGGAGTAACCATGCACCTCGGGGAAAGCGACCCCATCTCTGGAACAGCCAGCAACCACTTACATGTCCAGGGTGACAGGACCACAGGTTAGCTAAAACGAGGGCAGCTGGAAGTCACTGCTGTTGAGGTTGGTCTCCTTTTTACAGGATTCCATCATTTTTAAGGATACTACATATTGACGAGCTACCGCTGCACTCACCTTTTTAGCAGAGGCAATCACTGCAAAACAGGCAACAATGGAGAGTCCAATCATGATGTAACAAGCTTTAACTCGAGCTTTGTTTCTTGCCCTGTCTAGCATCTCTGGCCTGCAATTAAAGTTATTGAATTCAATCATTAGAAACCTGTGAAGCGTCTCTTCTTCAAAACATTGTAGACATCACTATTGAAAAATAACAGAATTCCCTTCTAAACCAAGCATCTTCAGCTTGCTGTGACTGGTTATGTGCCACCCACTGGAAAAGCAACATTTAATGGATTTAAGCTAGTTTGTTGTTGGGGTTTTTTTTGTTTGGTTGGTTTTGGTGTGTTGGGGGTTTTTTTAAGCTGAAAAATAAAAATTTGCTCATGCAATAAATACTGGAGCTTAACTATTTCAGGTAAATAGAAATCATACTTTAAGCTCTAGAAATTTAAGGGGGGGTTATTTATTTCAAACAGACAGAAAAGTGTATGTGGCGTCAAACTCGATGTGGTGAAAGCAAGTTCCTTTTATTCAAAATTAACGAAAAATTAATTAGTCATGTTTAACCTGTTCAGATCACAGAATCACAGAATGGTGGGGGTTGGAAAGGACCCCAGGAGATCATCTAGTCCAACCCCCCTGCCAAAGCAGGTTCCCTACAGCAGGTTGCACAGGAAAGTATCCAGGCAGGTTTTGAACATCTCCAGAGATGGAAACTCCACAGCCTCTCTGGGCAGCCTGTCCCAGGGCTCCATCACCCTCACTGTAAAGAAGTTTTTCCTTAAGTTTGTCTGGAACTGTTGGTTCCAGTTTTTGCCCATTACCCCTTGTCCTGTCACTGGGCACCACTGAAAAGAGCCCAGCCCCATCCGTTTGGCCCCCACACTTCAGGTATTTATAGACATTGACAAGATCCCCTCTCAGTCTTCTCTTCTCCAGGCTGAAGAGTCCCAGCTGTCTCAGCTTCTCCTCATACAGCTGATGCTCCATGGCATCCTGCATGCAGTAGGCAAGAGGCTTAACATACTTGGTAGGAGATTAAAGTGGAGCTAGTACTGCTACAAGCTGGAGGTTTTAGTCAGTTCTTTAGAAAAGCAGCAGCTTTATTTAAAGTGGGCAGCTGATGTCAGCCTTCTCGGTGATACAGGAACAGACACCTCAACGAGCACAATCTAGGTGATTATTTTTGCTGGTCATGAAAGGCAAAAGCAATGAAAACTGCCCCGTGTTTGGCAGTAGTTGCTGCAGGAGAGGCATGATGTGGCCCCACAAGCTGCGTTGGTGCAGCTCCAGTTTCCACCCTCCTCCCTTCCGAGAAGCAGTGGTCGGCTGCGCAGCCCTGAGAACCAGGAGTACAGGAAATCTCCGTATCACTAAAATAGTCTCAAAGTGTTCAGCATTTCTGATTCAAATGTTATACCTGGGAGTACTGGTTTTAAGATGTGCATTATAATGCTGTGCATTGTTTGCCTTTCATATATCCCATGGGAATGCTTTATATGTATAAATCTGTCTATTTATAAGATATAAATACACATAATATATAGTTAATGTTTTATGCATATGTATATATAAAAAGAATAGTTGCATAAAGAATTTATTTTATGTCATGAATAAAAATACTGCAATGATCTCTTTCCCCAAAAACACTTTTAGCTTTAAAGAGGATGAGTGGTGGGATGGGGCAGAGCTTGGTTTTATAGTGGAAGTTCTGCCCATGGCAGCACGTACCAAGGCTGGGGGCTGCCGTGCCTCTCTTGAAGGCTCAATGCAGCAGAAGAGGGTACGTCTGACACACAGCTGTGCCTGCTACCCCCTTCCCTGCCAACACACACATGCATGTGTTGTGCATGCCACATTTCCAGCAGCTGACTGACAGTGCCTGCAAGTCTAACTGCTTTTGTTTTGTACAATGGTAAACATCACCTTTAAGACAAGCCGCACATAAGACTAGCACATAAAATCATTAATCCACTAATCCATTTAGAGCAGCAAAAGCAAAATCATAGATGTTATTAGTCTGGCTTATTAGCCTAATCATATTTCACAGTGCACTAATTAAAACTCTTCTGAAGCAGATTTTCACTTTCTCGCTGCTTTCTGCCTCTGCTTTAAGGAAAGCAGATCTGATTATGTTCTTCCCTAATTGCACATTAGGGCCTTTGCTACTCCATCCTTAATCAAGACTCTGAGTAAACCTCCACTTAAGTCAGTAACAACTGTTTGTTTTGGTTTTTTAAAAAAAACCAAACACACCACAAACCAACACAAACAATCTGACAAACAACAAACCAACAACCTTGAATAAGGACTGCAGATTTGACCCTCAGTACAAACCATCTTCAGCAGCTAGATTGTGTACACAGGTACTATATCTTGCAATTCTTTTTTTTTTTTTTTTTTTTTTTTAATAGTTAAAGCAGTGGCATAGTTCAGTTTGAATGTCTCACAATTAATTTCTAGTGCATTACTAGTTATGATCTTACAGTTCAAAAAAGACCTTGCTCACCCAGAAAGTGCAGCGTGGTGACACACACTTGGCAGGCCAGATACCGCACAGAAGTGAGCGATTTGTCTGCGTGTATGTGTATGGACTGGCAAATGCATGTGTCTTTATAAACACCTGACAACCTGAATAGCTTTTAGAGCTTCTGAGACATGTCTGAACCTTTCTCCAGGGGAAGATGGTGGGACTAACACAGCGCGAGAGAGGTGAAAGAGTGGAAAGCCACTGTCCATCTCAGCGAACAGCAGTGAAACTGTCAGGAACCACCAGGAACAGGCAGAGGATGTACCTGTTGCTTGATGAAGCTCCACACACTGCTTACACTCAAGGTACCACCCAAGACAGGGACATACTGTGATGCTAAAAAGTACTCTCCTGGAGAGAGACATCTAACACACCATCAAACATCCTAAGAAAAAGGTAGCAATTAACATTACAGGGTTTGGGGCAATGGGTGTGAGCTGGAACACAGGAGGTTCCGCTTAAACTTGAGAAAAAAACTTCTTTACAGTGAGGGTGACAGAGCCCTGGAACAGGCTGCCCAGGGAGGTTGTGGAGTCTCCTTCTCTGGAGACATTCAAGACCCGCCTGGACGCCTTCCTGTGTAATTTCGTTTAGTTTCCTGCTCCAGCACCTGGATTGGACTGGATGATCTTTTGAGGTCCCTTCCAATCCCCAACATTCTGTGATTCTGTGGATTCATGTGTTCAGTGATGGACTCCCTTGGGGGATGCTAACTTTCAGCAAGTCAGAGGACACAGAGTCAACAAGGCATGGGTGGGAAGGGACCCTCAAAGATAATCTAGTCCAGTGGGTCAATAAGAATGGGAAGCTAAGGCTTTGTCAAATACTTTTTTTTCCTTGGTGAGGGATGTTTCTCTTACAGCCTCCTTCTCTATTGTTCCTCAAATTCTATAACAAATCATAATTTGTTGGATGTAATCATTCAGTGACAGTCAGCTCCCTTAGAGCTGTTTATGGGAGCTATAAACAGAAAATATTGTTGACCAATAACATCCTTCTCTGATTGCACGTTAGGAATAAGCAAAATAAACAACACAGTACATAAATGTAACCAAGGCTACCTCCTCAGATGGATCCAGTTCTTAATCCCAGGCTCTGGGGACTGCAGTAAGGAACATTTTTTCATCTTGACCTCTAACCAGGACAGGAAATTCTTTTGCCCTCTAATTTGTTTCCAAGTTTTTAGTATTGAAAAACTGACCGGTTCAAACTCTGTGGAAAAGCTTTAGATCAGGATCACACCACTGCTTTCCCTCAGCTCCATGTTTCCCCTGGATAAGAGCAGCACACTTACGGGATCCTTGAGGGAATCTCTTCTTCTGTCTTAAAACGTCCAGTCCAGAGAAGAATTTTTTTGTCAAACTTGGAAGGTTTGTAACTTGCAACCAGCTTGTGAGCTTGCTCAGCTTAAAGATGAGGAAAAAAACCACTTTGTCAAACCACGCGCTAAGAGGGAACGATGGATGGGAGCAACAGTGGAAGGGGAACTCGGGGATGAAACTTCCCGGTCTCCACTACCCAGAGTTACCTCCACGCAGTGCCCTGAATAGCCCCGCATGCAGTAAGTGTCTCTGCGGGTCTGGTTCGACCTCCCCGCAGC